GTGGGCATGTGAGTTGCTGCAAATGCACACGCACACGCACACACCAGTGCACCAACCAAACAACCATACACTTTCCAATTTTTACATACAAGTTTTAGCGTTTCCATGAACTTGAAAATTTCTCATCCAACTTTTATGGTGCCCTTTTCAGGTTACTATTGGGACGTGGTTTTCCTTTTGGTTGGAATCAACAAATGTGACAACCCCATACAACATGTACAGTCTTTCATAACCATAGGTTCACCACTCTTAAGAGGGTAATATGTTCTTGGTAGATGATTGAGGTGATTTACTGATTTGTTCACATTTTTAAGATTAGTTAAATGAACTTTTCGAGCTGCAATGATTCATAGTAAGGTTGAAATCCAGTTGATGTAGTTCTGAAGTCAGTTGTTCATAAATTGTTCCTACCTTATGTACATTGCTTCCCAGACAATGCACACATACATGGAACGAAGATGATGTGATGGCGTGATATCATTTGTCTTTCTACTTGCTGTGTTTGTGAATTGTTCATTATATTCATATTAAGGTCTTTCACCTTTATCTTATAGGGAAAATTCTCCAGTATTTTGGATGAGTATTATTACAAGCTCAAGTTATGTTTATGCTGCCTCTATGTTCTAGTCCCCTTATATAAACCGAACAAAACTGGAGTCTGAGAGTTCCCTACCCTTTTGAATGGATGGGAATTGTTTGTCTACTTAATACTAGGAACCAATTAGCGTGTGCAGCAGATCAAGAACAAGGGTAGAGCAGTAGAATGATTAATCATGCGTTGCCACTGCCATCACCATCATCCCCCTCATCATTTAGGCCTTTTTTTTGCTATGAAGCATAACTCGATATTGAGAAGGGTCTATGCAGAAGTTGGAGAGTGTTGTGTTTAACTGTCAACTCGACATCACACTCTTAGGTGTTGCTATATTACTATACAATATAACTGTTTAGGTAGAGGCTTGTCTGAAACATAATAGGAATATTAGCGATGTTGAACCTCAGTGGTGAGTAGTTTCACGTCATGCTACCATGAAGCAACATCCTGCAAAATTTCCCAAACTAGGGAAGTCTGAAGAAGGGGAAGAAACTCTTGATCTTGTGCACGTTTGCTGTATAAAGCATTTTTAAGTGAGTATTTCTCTTTTGCTTTTTCTGACTTTCCACAAACTATTTAATGAAGGAAGTTGGTAGTTCCTCTTCCTGCACCTCTTGGCCTTGTGCATTTGGGGAAAGGCTATCTGGTTTTGTCTGCATTCTGTTTTGCTGCTATGAGCAATGGGGTTAACTTGACGGATGGGCTTGATGGCTTGGCTGGTGGGGTTTCCGCATGGGCGTTTATAGGAATGTCGGTTGCTGTAATTGCAATATGTCCTGGTGAGTAGGATTCTTGTTGAACTTGAATAACATCAGTTTCTAGGTTTAGATGTTGAATAAAAAAATTACCGACATTCGTATTGTATGATTTTCTTCTTTTCACTACTGTTATAAAAGGATCACATTTTAATCTCTTTTGATTATCAAGTTTTATTAGCATCATTACACGTGCAAATGCACATGTAACAGGCATTAAAAGTTATATACCCAATTATCCTAATTTATATAAAAAGGATTATTTAATACCCTTAAGTTTCACCAAATTTCAACTTTGGTACTTTGATCTAAAAATACTCCAAAGCTTAAATATAATGTAATAATGTAGTATTGTTATAAATTTCAAATAAAGTAGTATTGTTATAAATTTAAGACCTGTAAACTAAGATATTGAAACATGACCATGTTGCGTTCCACTACATTAAATATCAACCGAAAGTATTCTACAGAATTCTTTTTTTTACAACAACATAAAAACTTTATGGGAACTAGTTCCCAAAAAAAAAAATTCCTTTTGCGCTTTTCTTTCTACATTCTACTTAAGCACATAGGGAACTCATAGCACGCATGTTAAGTTTTATGTTAGCAAATATAGATGTGTATAATTTATGGATATTTCTTTTTATATTAAATGTATTATAATTTCTAGAAATATCTTTGTAAGTTGTCTTTTCTTCCAGCTTTTACGTCAAAATCATATACAACAGTCAATTCATGGGATACAATTAATGTAACCTCTTTTTTCTTTAAAAAATAAAAAAGAGTAAAGAAGAAGAAAGGGAGAAAAAAAGCCCTTACATACAATTACCATTTTACCCTCCTAAGCTTATGAAAGAATGAAGGGAATGTTCACCTTCATTCATTTTTTCCATACCCCTTGTTCGTATATTATATTGTAGAATAGATACTTCATTTACACATTTCAACATATCTGAGGTTATTGTTTGGATATAAGTATCCCGTATTTTCTATCACCTATGTATCATTTTCATGCTATCAACTATTTTAAGTCCAATTATTTTGATATGCATCTGTTTTTAACCTTTAATGTGGACAATTTCTAGCTAGGAAACTACTTATCTCTTCCTCTAAATTGTCTCCATCAGTATTTAACCTCTAACAGTGTCAGTGTCACTCCAATGATATCTTTGGATGTTCTGTTTTTTCATTCTGTGTGGAGTGCTGCAGTTTTCCTGGCCTGATTTGTAAGCTACTTCAATGATATTTTTTGGTATTTTTCTTGAATTTATGAGGTATCTTGGGATCTATTTTATGTGATATAATTATTGGTCTCAATTAAACAGACCTTGCTATTTTTGGAGCATCAATGGCTGGAGCTTGTGTAGGATTTCTGTATCATAATAGGTACAAAGCTTCAATATTCATGGGTGATACTGGATCCTTGGCATTGGGTGGAGCCCTTGCTGCAATGGCCTCTTGCACAGGAATGTTTTTCCCATTATTTATATCCTCTGGTGTCTTCGTCATGGAAGTATTATCAGTCATAATGCAGGTATGTTCATGATGCCTCAATTCACGCACACATGCAGCTGCATGATCACAAACACACAGATGCAGTTCTATGTTCACGCAGTTATGGTCAACAGCAACAACAAAACAACAACAAAGCGTTTACCCCGAATTTTGGCATGTTTATGTTATGATCGGGGAATATAATTATTCATGGTCATTTCTTAGGAATATTCTAAGGATTACAACACATGTTGCTTTATTTCCTGGGAAGGATCTTGTTCAAGGTCCTCATTGCAATGCCTTCATCTAAATATTGCCTTTCGCCAATAGATATTCTAGAAACCCAATATAGAAATGGAATTTCTTTCATGAATCTGATTTTGAAATCAGATTATGTGTCAATTTTAATGGGGAAGTTTACAAAGTTATTTATCTGCCTCTTAAGATGGTTTACTGCTACTGTACATGACATTCAACACCATCACCTCTACTTTTTTACTTCACCACGCAAGTTATGAAAAAATGGTGCTATCAATTGAAAATGCTTTCAAATAGACAGAAAGCAAAAAATGTACTTATATTCAAAATGATTTGCGAGGCCCTAACTCTAAGACTTAGCACTGTGCAGGGATAGACTATACATTTTACTCCTAAAAGCATTTGAGCAAGCACTTTCTCCATCACTAACTCCTCTGCAGTCAAAGATTATTTCATTTCTCACTCATCCTACCCCTTTGTACTTTTGACTTGCATGTGCTCACCAAAATTAGTGAGATAGGGCCGCACCTCTTGTGCCTTGGAGTTAAGGGTAAACTCTCATGTGTGTGCGCGTGTGTGAAGTGTTTGTGTGTGTGTGTGGGTGGGTGGGGAGGGGGGTTGGCTGTGCCGGGTGTGTGGGCGTGTGTGGAGGGGAGTGTGTGAGATGAGTGGGTGTGTTTGGGTGTTGTGTATGCGCACGCGTACGTGTTTGAGCACGCACGTGCGTGCCTGAGTGGGTGGGTGGCACGTGTGCATGCGTGCATGGGGGCATGTGTGAGATAGGAGTGACTTCTTCATTAAATGAGGCAACAACAATAATTATGTTTGTGTTTAAAGTTTATTACGTTCATGTGGATATAAGAGTAGGTGAACGTTGCCATTAACTATTTATTTGGAAAGGCTACATACTGGCTCTGATGAGTTCACTGACCTGGTTTACAGGGGTCCAAGCATTGATATACTATTCTTGGTTAATATAGTTGTTAATTTCCTTTAACACTTAACTTTGATGGAGCAGAGGAGGGAGATTCTGTGTGTGGACGAGCATTCATGTACCTACAAATGTTATTACATCAATTTTTTGCCTTAGCATGTATGCAACTAAGAATTCTCATACTACTGCCAGGTTTCCTTTGTGAAGGCCACCAAACATCTGCATGGGACTGGCAGGCGCTTCTTTCGGATGGCACCTGTGCATCACCATTTTGAGTTATGTGGTATAAAAGAGCCAATGATTGTTGCAAGTGCATACTTCATATCGTGCATATTTGCTCTGTTTGCTGGATATATTGGTCTTATTTCGGCTTAGATTGAGACATATGGAACTCTTTTCTCAAGCTTTCCCGCAGTGTGTCTATGCCTCTATTATAATTTTTAGCACATCATTTGGTCCAACGTTTGCCTTCTCTCCAAGGTTGAATTATGGCAGACTCAGCCTCACCGATTACTATGGGTTGGCGTTTTACATAGCAGTAAAGATTTCAGCTGAAAATTCAGAACTGCTCCTCCACTGGGAAATGAGCATTTGCTCATTTTCTTTATCTATGCAGTCGAGGGTGGAAGTTCGAAAGTTTGTAGTCTCAATATTTGTTGTCCGTTTTTCAATGTTCAACTTGTTTAAATGTATAGCTTTAGGTGAACTAGAAATATGGTATTCTAAAGCAAAACATTTGCACAAGGCCTGTTTATCGATAGGCAATCTTATTCCTTTGTTATTTTGGTTATTATTCATCTAAATAGACGACATCTATAAAATTCAAGTATATACATTGATGAACTTTGGAATAGATGGAACTAGTGTGTATCCTGTGTAAAGCACGACCCTCTGTTTTTTAAGCATTGTATTTTGAACTTGCCTCCCTATACATTGATGAACTTTGGAATAGATGGAACTAGTGTGTATCCTGTGTAAAGCACGACCCTCTGTTTTTTTAAGCATTGTATTTGTTGGGGAAATTACCCACTAAACCAGAGAATAGAACAATCACATATACAGAATTTACGTGGTTCGATCAAATTGATCTACGTCCACGGCAAGAGGGGGCTTTCACTATATCAATCTCTCAAATACAACGTACATACAAAATTTTGGTAGGCTCTCTTTTGTTTTGTTTTTTTTCACTCAAATGGCTCTGTCAAGGATTGCTTCGGATACTCCTTGCACACCTTCAGAGGAAGAGAGGGGAGGGAGCTCTATAGGCTTCAAATCCCCCTCTCTGTCAATCACCGAAAATGAGCCCTCACACTCTTTGTCAACACCTACTGTCACCTTCCTGATTTGTCAACAATTGTGGCTATCTCTCTCTGATTTGTCAACAATGGTGGCTGTCCCTTTCGGTGCTTCTTTCTTTGTTTTCAACAAAGAGTGGCTGCACTTTGTGGCTTGATGTTTTTGACCAACAATCTCCACCTCGGTGAAGTTTTCCCAAAAAAACTGAGCCGACACCAATAACTAGTGAGTCTTCACCCATCTTGCAAACAATGCCCCAAAAGGGGCCACTTAACAAGTGCGAATGCCTCCCAAATTCAAGCAGTGCTTGAACTTGAAGGCCGGAATCGGTTTGGTCAACATGTCAGTTGGATTGTCTGCAGTACCAATCTTCTTCATCGTGATGTTTCTTTCAGCAGTTGCCTCACGAATAAAATGATATCTGACATCAATATGTTTTGTCCTCTCATGATGTGCTGAGTTTTTTCTTAGATGTATTGCGCTCTGATTGTCGCAAAATACAACTGAACTAGCTTCCTGCTGTAGTCCAAGCTCACTCACGAGATTTCTCAACCAAATGACCTCTTTTACCGCTTCTGCTGCTGCCATGTATTCTGCCTCTGTAGTAGACATGGCAACTGTCGACTGTAGAGTCGATCTCCAACTAATAGCTGAGCCAGAAAGAGTAAAAAGATAACCAGTCAAAGACCTCCTTTTATCGAGATCACCTGCATAGTCAGAATCCACAAAACCTACAACAGAGGTTCCCAAAGTATTGCTATAAAAAACTAAACCCAAATCTGAGGTACCCCTGAGATACTGTAGGATCCACTTCACTGCCTCCCAGTGTGCCTTCCCTGGTTGAGCCATGTATCTGCTCACTACACTGACTGCCTGGGCAATGTCTGGACGAGTGCAAATCATAGCATACATAATGCTACCCACTGCATTAGAGTATGGAACTCGGGACATCTCCTTCTTCTCGTTCTCACTTGTAGGTGAATCTGAAGCCGAGAGCCTAAAGTGAGGAGCCAAAGGAGTCGTAACGGGCTTGGCCTTCTTCATCCCAAAGCGTTCAAGCACCTTTTCAATATAACTCTTCTGTGAGAGATATAAAGTTCCAGCTTTCCTGTCCCTCCTGATCTCCATACCTAAGATCTTCTTTGCTGCACCAAGATCTTTCATCTCAAACTCATCACTGAGTTGTTTCTTCAAAATAAGAATCTGCGACATGTTCTTAGCAGCAATAAGCATGTCATCGACATATAATAGAAGATAAATAAAAGAATCATCTCCTAGATGCATGTAGTACACACAACTATCATAAGTACTTCTTGAGTACCCATGACTAAGTATAAAATTATCAAACCTCTTGTACCACTGTCTGGGAGATTGCTTCAGGCCGTACAAAGATTTCTTCAATCTGCAAACTTGATCTTCTTTACCTTCTACGAAGTATCCCTCTGGCTGAGACATGTAGATAGTCTCCTTAAGTTCGCCATGTAAAAATGCTGTCTTCACATCAAGCTGCTCAAGCTCCAGATCAAATAGAGCAACCATGGCAAGCAATACACGGATGGAGGTGTGCTTCACAACCGGAGAGAACACTTCATCATAGTCAATTCCCTCCTTTTGTCTATAACCCTTAGCCACCAACCGTGCTTTGAATCTAGCATCTTCAACCCCTGGGATCCCTTCTTTCTTCTTGAAAATCCACTTGCATCCAATTGCCCTTTTACCCTTAGGTAATTGCACCAAATCCCAAGTCTGATTCTTGTAGAGTGACTCGAGTTCTTCTGTCATAGCTGTGGCCCAACGTCCAGATTCTCCGCATGAGACAGCTTCAGTAAAGTTTGATGGCTCTTGAATACTCATCTCTTCAGCTGTCGTGAGAGCATACGCCACTAATTCAGCATGTGCATATCTTTGAGGAGGTTTGATCTGTCTCCTCTCTCTGCCAGTGGCTATGGAATAAGGTTCTTCAGTCTCAGCATCATCAGCATCTGAGCCTGAATCATGTTGCTCTTCTACAGCTGTAGGAGCAAATTTTATAGACGACTTTTGAGACGTCTCTCCCTCGAGCTCCACCTGAAGCTCCACCTTATCCATGGTCTTCTCTACATTTCCTGTAGACTCAACAGAAACCTTCCCATGATCAAGCATATATCTTTCATTAAAAGTAACATCTCTACTAATAATGAATTTAGGAGAATCAGGTTCAAGACTCCACAAACGATAGCCTTTAACGCCATCAGCATAACCAATAAATATGCATTTCTTAACTCTAGGCTCAAGCTTACCCTCTCTAACATGATAGTAAGCGGGACATCCAAATACCTTTAAATTTGAATAGTCATTTGGTTTACCTGACCATACCTCGTTTGGAGTCTTGTGTTCAATGGCGGTAGAAGGAGACCGGTTCACCAAGTAACAAGCTGTGTTAACAGCTTCAGCCCAGAAGCCTTTATCCAAGCCAGAGTTTGAGAGTATACACCTAGCTCTCTCCATCAACGTTCTATTCATACGTTCTGCCACCCCGTTTTGTTGAGGAGTGTGCCTGACCGTGCGATGTCGTACGATCCCAGAATTTGAGCAGAACTGATTGAACTCACCACTGCAGAACTCTAAGCCATTATCTGTTCGGAGACATTTAATGTTCTTTCCAGTTTGATTCTCAACAAGTACTTTCCACTTCTTGAAAGTTTCGAACACCTCGCTTTTGGGCCTGAGAAAGTAAACCCAAACTTTCCTGGAAAAATCATTAATAAACGTCAGAAAATAAAGAGCACCACCTTTAGATGGAACCTGAGCAGGTCCCCACAAATCTGAATGGATGTAGTCGAGAGTGCCCTTCGTCGTATGTGAGCCAGTCGAGAAGCTGACCCGAGTTTGCTTCCCAAACACACAATGCTCACAGAAATCCAGTGATGATGTATGATCACCACATAGTAAGCCACGTTTACTCAAAATAATCATCCCTTTCTCACTCATGTGGCCTAAGCGCATGTGCCACAACTGAGTAGTGTCCCTATCAGCATCAGAGGACACACTTGCAGAGCCTGTCACCGTACTGCCTTGGAGAACATAAAGACTGTTCACCTTACTACCTTTCATCACAACCAATGAACCCTTAGTAACTCTAAGAGCTCCACCTTCGCCAGTGTAAGAACACCCAATAGAATCCAAAGAACTCAAAGAAATCAAATTTTTCTTTAAGTCTGGGATGTGTCTCACATCTGATAAAGTTCTCACTATCCCATCGTGACACCGGATGCGAACTGTACCAATGCCAATTGTCTTGCAAACTGCATTGTTGCCCATCAAAACTGATCCACCACTTATAGATCTGTAAGTAGTGAACCAATCTTTATTTGGACACATATGAAAAGACGCACCTGTATCTAAGATCCATTCTTTATTGGAACGGCCATCTAAGGGACATACTGTAAGAACCGTCTCAGCAACAACGGCAGTATCAGCCTTTGCCGTATTAGCTGAATCTGATGTTTCACCACGCTGGTTGTCTTTCTTCTTTAGAGTATAACATTCTGACTTGTAATGCCCTTTCTTGTGACAGTAGAAACACTCCACATTTTTCTTGTTTGGGGCTGACCTGGACTTTGAGCGATTTCTGGATTGCCCTTTATCACCCTCTCTGGTCTTCATTCTACCTCTGGCTAGCAGACCGTCAGCCTGCCTATCGGTACCTCTCCCATTCAACTTTGTTCTTAACTCAGCAGAGTTCAAAGAGGCCTTCACATCCTCAAGACTTATGGATTCTCTTCCATACAACATAGAGTTAACAAAGTTTTCATAAGAGTTAGGCAAGGAACATAACACAATGAGAGCCTGGTCTTCATCATCAAGCTTTAGATCCAGGTTTTTCATATCCATGACAATTTTATTAAATTCATCAAGGTGTTCTTGAATGAGTGTACCTTCTTTCATCTTCAATGTGTATAGCCGCTGCTTCAGGTATAATATTGTAGTAAGAGATTTCTTCAAGTAGAGACTTTCGAGCTTTGACCACAACCCCGCTGCCGTTTCCTCATCGGCAACTTCACGAAGCACATTGTCGGATAGTGACAATTGCAAGGCACTGTGAGCCTTTTCGTCCATCTCTTTGATCTCGACACTAGTCATATCTTCTGGGTATTTCCCATCGATAGCTTTAACCGTGCCTTCACGTCGCAACAAAGCCTTCATCTTTATCCTCCATAGGCCGAAATTGTTTTGGCCATCAAAGATCGACACCGAGAACTTCACAGAAGCCATTGTGGAGGATTGAAAGCTGTCCTAGAACCGAGAAGCTCTGATACCAGTTTGTTGGGGAAATTACCCACTAAACCAGAGAATAGAACAATCACATACACAGAATTTACGTGGTTCGATCAAATTGATCTACGTCCACGGCAAGAGGGGGCTTTCACTATATCAATCTCTCAAATACAACGTACATACAAAATTTTGGTAGGCTCTCTTTTGTTTTTTTCCCCACTCAAATGGCTCTGTCAAGGATTGCTTCGGATACTCCTTGCACACCTTCAGAGGAAGAGAGGGGAGGAAGCTTTATAGGCTTCAAATCCCCCTCTCTGTCAATCACCGAAAATGAGCCCTCACACTCTTTGTCAACATTATAGGCTTCAAATCCCCCTCTCTGTCAATCACCGAAAATGAGCCCTCACACTCTTTGTCAACACCTACTGTCACCTTCCTGATTTGTCAACAATTGTGTCACCGAAAATGAGCCCTCACACTCTTTGTCAACACCTACTGTCACCTTCCTGATTTGTCAACAATTGTGACTATCTCTCTCTGATTTGTCAACAATGGTGGATGTCCCTTTCGGTGCTTCTTTCCTTGTTTTTCAACAAAGAGTGGCTGCACTTTGTGGCTTGATGTTTTTGACCAACAGTATTTTGAACTTGCCTCCCCCTAAGACTCAATACATTTGAATTGATTATTGTGTATTTAAAATTAGAAATCATACCTACTGCTCTATACTTAAAAGAACATTGTTTATAATATTGTAAATTATTACTATAATATGAACAATAAATTACTAAATTTACTCCGCTATATTTAAAGGACCAAAAGATTCACTGTTTATTCTATAGCAATTTAATGTATTATTTATTGTAGCACGAATGATATATCTTGGATCTTTCTTCATGCATAGAGTAGATACATACAGGACGGTCTGATTCATTAATGAATTATTTGATCTTTCTTCACGTATCTGGTTTGCTGTATATAATGAGTCTGGTAGTATATTTGGTCCAATTCTACTATAATACAAACGCAAGGTAGCTAATATCAAGGATGCATTGAGAAAATTGGAAATGCTCTACTTCTACTAGCAGCAAGCAAGCTCTCTATTTGTTTGAACAGGAGCGTATTTTGTAATTCTAGAACTGGGCTCGATCACAAGGGGGCTTCAAAATTGTTTGATAACGTGGAGAAATATTTCAATGTTCCTAGTCTATATTATATATTAAGAAAAGCTTCATTTTTGGTCTTTGCAAGCTGCATGTTTAGAGTTCTGAAAATCCCCTCACACCTTACAATGAATTGTAAATGTTCTCGCACTTAAATAAATCAATGAAAATGCCGTCACACATACAAACTCAAAGGAAATGCTTTCACATTGGAAATAACTCATAGAAGTGCCATCAAACCTGAAAAAAATCGAAAAAAAAACGAACGAAATGGCATTCAAACTGTCTGTTCTTGACAAATTGACCAAAATAATTCCTCATGTCTACCATTATGCACACATCGTGTACACTAGAGTACTAGTACAAATTAGATAACTGGCAGTAGATTTCACGCAATAGCTTTTGATATGACTATACATCCAAGATTGAAGACTTTTTATAGTGTTGCTCACCGCATAAATAGATTTATTACGAAACTATAAGTATTCACCGATAGCTCTACCAAACTCACAAGACAATTACAGAACCAATATCATGGAGGAATTCTATTGGCAGCGACTGCCAACAAACAATGGCAACACGTGTCGCTATTTCTCCCATTTTCGAATCGGGACGGAAATTATGCCTACGCCACCCTCAATAATTGTATTTTGCACTAAGCGGGCAATTGAAAAAAAAGGACATGCTTTTCTACAGTGATCTCTGTTACTCATATGAAAAATAAAATAATTACCGCTTTATCTAAAATATTATGTGTTTAGCATCTTGATTTTTGTTTCTGTCTCTAAGAGTGTTTGATTTTACCTTTAAAATATCTTTAGCTATATCAAAATTTTCAATTTGTTATTAGAGTTGAGCATTATAATTATTTGTGCGATTAAAAAGCAAATGTTCAGATTACTTAAACTAAAAGTATAAATTTTACAAGTTATATGGATCGAAAACCTTAAACGCTTAACCCATTTAATACTTTTTTCGGAGGAACATTTCCTTATAGTATAAAAATGAATAATCAAGTTATAAAGATTACAAAAAATAGACAAGAGAGAAATATAAACATACACATTAAATATGAATTTATCAATTGTCTTCAAAATAAGAGTCTTCTCCACAATTGAGAGCAAATAAAAACAAAAAAAAGAAAGAAGTAAAATATTTTTTTTGTGTAACAAGAAACAAAGAAGTAAAACTTGCAAATAAAAAACTACCACTGGGATTACAAGAAAGAAGAGGAAGTTTTTGATACCAGAGGGGGGAAAATCATTAGCGTCAATCCGTAAGGTAAAAAAAGCTATATATAAAAAAAAACATCTCGGTTGCAACTTGCAAGCTTTAGAAAATATTTTTTTGGGGGATTTGGTGGGGGCTTTTTACATTTGACCATTGACAATCGGTTGACACATCAAATAGGGAGAAAAATTAGACACGTGTCGTGATTGCTTATTAACAGTTTGCCAATAGGATTCCTCAATATTGTGAGGATTGAAAAACAAAATAATGTGTGCAAGAAGAAATTATAAATTTCTAGTCGGTTCTCAATAGAAAGATTTATATTTGAAAATCAATATTGAACATTGAACTATCTAAAAATTAAAATCCGATCGAATTTGACTCCAATAATTTAAGGAACCATCGAACATATCTCACATTCCTTAGCGGATCCGGATCTCCAACTGCGGTAAGCGGATATTTCATAACCCGACTCGAATCCGGACCACTGCTCTCCCCGGTTACGTGCCCTAGAGCTGCGGTAGCAGCGTAAAATCAGTCGGCAATTGTGTAGCTTTGAATGAAGAAAGGGAGGGAATTCCTTCTCCAAATCTCGCGCCGTCGTCATTCGACCTCCTCTCAAACCGTAAAAGTACCAACCGAAAGATTTATTTACCTATTTATTTAGGGATTTGTAAACCCTAAATAATGATACAAATTGAGTTTCCGTTACTTACCTTTTGGGTCTTTCTTTCTGTCAACAGATGGATTCTTCTTCATCTTCTTCACCATCGGATCGATACAGCTTCAATCCTAAGCTTCAATGGAATCCTGAGGTCGAGGAGTACCTCGTCAAGGCCTATGGCGCTGAGCACTTCGCTCGGATTTCCAAATCGCTAACGTACTTCTTCGCTTCTTTACTCCATTTCTTTTTTCTTCTTATCCTCTTTAACAATTGCGGTCTTTCGATGGAACACGCGGTAGCTTTTCCTTTTTCATTGTGTTGCTTATGTACTAAACATGTTGAGTAAGTTCTTTGTCTGTCTAGATTGGCCACGGAAATTTAAATTCACGGGAGCAAATACTAGGAAATGACGAAAGCTTGTAACTTTATAATAATTTTTTGTTTTGCGTAAATTGATGGCACTTAGAAATATAGAAACTGTGAGAAGGGGGGGGGGGGGGTTACCCCTTGATTAGCTACCTGTTAGAGGGACTAAATGTGTTAAATGTCCTTTCCGCTACACCAAAACTTCAAAGTTGTTGCGAGGGTTGAGGGTTGCAGTTCTATATTCAAATATTCTGTAGCACGAATATTGGCAATTGGAAGTTTCAAGAGTTGCAAAAACTTTTTTTTACTCTTTGAGTTGTAGCTCTTTTGCTTACCGACCATTTATTTTGTTCAGTCACCCATCTAGTTACTCTTGCATTCGGGTGAATACTCTCAAGTCCATAAGCGATAACGTTATCACGAAGCTGATGAAAATTCTAGATGAAAAGAAGTTCTCCTCTAGAACAAGTCGTATGGACATAAGGGAACATGGTGCTATAGATGAAGTTGATCAAGGGAATTTTGACAAAACTCCTGAGCTTGGTACGACAACAAGATTTGGGGACATGAATAACTCAACAAGAGAGTTACAAATCCCTTCTATTTATAAGTGTGAATACCCTGGTCTAGATAACGTTGTGTTTGTTAAAGGTTCTGGCCCGCATGAGTTACATTATGGTGATCAAGCTGCTCAGCCGTTGAAGGAAATAATTGTGAGCCGTAAATGTGCTGAGGCAGTTCTTCGAGGTGCTCAGGTACACTTTTGCATTCCTCTTGAACAATTCTTTTATGATACCAAGCACATCATAAATTTTCGTAATTAGTATAACATTAAATTTGAACCCTGGCTTTATCATTTTAATGCATATTATCTGGACAATTCTATTAGCATTATCTTCTACTTTTTTTTGTCTTTTCCTATATCTCTATGTTATTGGTAGCAGGCTTCTTCAAATATGTAATCTTCATTATATTTCTACTCCAGTCTCTCACATCTCCTTCAAAGCCGTCAATGCTCGACTTGCTTGGTCCGCTTTGCACTTTTAAAGTTCTTCTCATTCTTTTTTCTATATTTTGTTAGTAATATTTTTCTGGAAGATATAGACCATCTATGTTACTTAAATGAAGCGCTACTTAATCCCTAACTTGAATTTAACTAATCGTTACCTGCAACTGTGACTAGTTATGTTGATGTTCACTCCTAGGACCATGTCCATGAGTCCGGTTGCATCTATGTTATTTTGTGTTTAAACCCATCCTGGAGTGCAGGCTTCTGTACTGGATATTGTTGAAAATATTTAATCTTGTAATATCAAGAAGACGTTGTGTTTTTAGTTATGCAATACAAATCATGCTTGGTTATATGCATATATTATGATAGATGTGATATTGAGAAGTTAACTGACATCTATTGCAAGGAACACATTGTTGATACTTGATTGATGGTATGGAGCATTTGGTATCCTCCAGCTATGTTTAACCCTGCCATTCTTTCACATCTCTTTTGTAGTTACTTCTATATCATTGTGTTGTGAATTTCTACATATTATTCTAGGCCTTCTGTATCATGTTTTTTTATTTTAAATCACGGATTTGGATTTGCTTGCTGGAATTATAGTTTTGTCCTTTTTTTTCAAACATTGTCCTGTGTACAGTGTGCATCCATTTCTCGTTAAAAGTTTGAATCTAATTGTCATGGTGAATCGTCACTTGTCTTTATGGCGATGCTTGCCCTGCAGGTTTTTGTTCCTGGTGTTTTGGCTTGCAGTTCACATGTTGAAAAAGGAGATGTAGTTGCAGTTTCAGTAGCTGTGGAACAGCCAGGGCCTGATGGTAAATGGGGATTTGGCATAACACGTGGAATTGTTCTGCAAGGAATTCAGTCAGGCAAGCAATAATCCATGACTTACTCAAATTTATGAGAGCTCTTGCAAGTAAATAGTGTAATCTTCAAATATTATTTATTATATGATCTCTCATGAAGGTAAAGGCCTTCTATTTGTCTGAAGTTAGGCTTCATGGGACAGTAACTCTCTACATGAATACAAGTTGGAACACATTGAATTAGCAATACTAGGTGTAAAGATAATGCGACAAAGTAACTCAATTAAAAATGATAATTACACATATCTGCAGAATGATGACAGTTTCGTGTTTGTCATACATGCAGAAAATAGCAATACATCGAAAAGGCTGACCTTAACAGACCATCCTGACAAGTCAACAGTATTAACGTCCTGTTTACCCAGTTCACAGCGAAATCAAAACAATTGTTAGAATACCCTCCCATGGAAGAGACCGGTTACACACTAAAGGTAATGGAGACACAGGTAACACACCAAAGATAACACATAATGGTCACCCCATGTTTTACTTGCTAGTTGTATACTTTCAAGGAAGATACTGACTCGGGCATCTGAGGGATAAAGCAATGATCAGCTTTCACTTTCATTGTTTTTTGTGTACAGATATGCATGGACTATACCTACGTTCTCAACAATAAATCTTATTGATGTTTGTAACTTTGTTTAAGTATCTCAATGTGATTGCTCAGTGCTGTTTAATTTCTTGACCTGGAACCTAGTTTGGTTTAGATAGGACTATTTAATATTTTGTTACAATGACCTGTAGCGGGTTTAAGTGGAAAAGGGGCCTCAATCCCTAATTGCTTTCTTGACCTCCAATGCCTCTTTTGCCTTTTGCTTTGAGTAGAGACGCAAGTGCATCCAGATCATCCAAATGTGATCATCCAATATTAACCGATTTCCAAATATAGGCTCATGAATTTTATATCCCTCCTTTATATATTAAGAGAAACCGGTGGTTTGCTATTCAAGCCTACTATCTCAAAAAATTGCCACGTGTCCTTTTATCTCAATCTAAGAATGACATGTGGACACCTGAGCACCTTCTATGGAAACTTGGTTTTTCCCATATGGTTTTGCTTACATGAATTGCTGCATACCCTTTGATGCAATAATCTTAACATTGGCACATTAAACTTGGGTAATGAAAGGAAATGCATCTGCATGGTGGTAGTCGTATATGATTTCATTACTTTCCTTGTATCCTATTCGACTCTTTACTGATTCAAATGTAATAATCATTTACCTGATTCACCTATGCGATAATCTTAAGTCTCTTATGTGCATTTCATGAACAACTGTTTAAGTTTGGGTATTGAAGGGAAATGCATACTCATTGTTTTTTTATTAAAATTTTCCTGTTTGATTTTGTTGCTTATTGTTTTTCTTTTCCTGTCAGAAAAGTGGAAAAAAAGTGCTGAGAAGCAGCTAAGATATTGTGCTATTGATAATTTAGTTTTTCTTGTAGTTATTTTAGTCATATATGCATTGATATCTAAATCAATTATTATTTAGGAAGTTATCTGTCTTATTAATTTAATATTTTTTACTTTTGTCAGCCTTGAGTTGTTCTAGTCTTATTTCTTGGATTTAGTGATACTATGTTATCGAGTGGGAAACATAAACCTCCTTCTATAGCTTGTTTGTAATATTGATGGCTTATAGTTTTTCATACTAAATTTAATACAGACTAAAATGTCACAGATCCTCAATATCATGAAAGGAGTGGCCTCTACATTGGGCAAGGGACAGCAGTAATGTCAAGGGCTGGTATCTTTCGTGCTTCAAAAGGAGTTGCTGTGGAAATGATAAACAGAATCTATGAACTTCCTTCCTTCTATGGTAATTTAGTCAACTGGTTTGAGGCATATTTAAAGTTCTTATGGATGATGAGTACAGCTAAAATTTTCTGATTGAGGTGTTTATAAGTGATAATATTGATATGTTACTGATTTTGAAAAGATTATGTGCTAATGCATCAGTAATATCATACTCACCACTTGTTCATCCACTTTCTAGTTTTAAATCAATCTAATAGTTTGGCCTTTGTTATATGCTTGGGATCTTGTACCTTGTTAGACTTGCTACCTTGCTGGAGAGTGGAGACTCATAAACTATGCAGGGTAGTTTAGTGGATTTTGTTGAGGGCAAGTTGTTAAGGCACTTTGCCGGGTTAAGCAGTTAGGTATACCTGAACACCTAGGTGGAATCTAAATAGTTAGGTAGTTAATTAAAGGGCTATGTTTTCTAAAAGTAGACTGCATAGTTTTACGGTAAAAGTAGCCTAAAAATATTATATCACAAATATGTCAATTATATGTAATTCCAATCACGTCATATTATCTAAGGACAGCTACTTGATTAAATGCTATTTGATAATGTATAATGTTGGCTAAAATTAAGTTCTCAAGTAGGACTGCTACAGAAACTAGCCTTGATTGATTAGCCAACTGTTGGTAAAGCTTTATTTCAAGCCTTAAATATAGGTGAAATTGATACAAACCACCTTTAATTTTTTTTTTTCTGATACAAATCACCTTATATATATGTGTTATCATCGCAATGTCACACTTTTGGGTAATTTTTGTTTTAAAAAAAATTTATACTCCTCATTCTAACTAAATAAAAAAAAGAGAGGAGGAGGAGAGGGGAGGGAAGTTGCTTGAGTGGATGACATGAGAGGAGGGAATGAGGTTGGTACCGGTGGCGAGAATAGAGAGAGAGGAGGGGGAAGGAAGAGGAGGAGAAGAAGGAAGAGGTGAGGAAGGTGAGAATGGAGGAGGAGATGAAAGGAAAAAGGAGGTGAAGGGGGAGGAGAGGAGGATGAAGAAGAGGAGATTGAAAGGAGAATGAAGGATGAAGAAGAGGAGATTGAAAGGAGAATGAAGGAATGAGGTGGGGGAGGACAGAAAGGAAGGTGGAGAAGACAAGGGTAAAATGAGTGTTTTAATTTTTTTTGGCTGAATAGTGACGGAGGCGTGACACTGAGAAGATAACACATATATAAGGTGGTTTGTATCTATTTTATTTATATATAGGGTGGTTCCCATGAGAAAACCCTTATTTCAACAATCAAAGCAACATAAAGGTTAGTCATGAGGAGAGATAAGTATAAAATAATAAGATAACGAAGATGTGTTCTTTTATCATCTCCAGTTACTATGACGTACAATATTGACATCTCACAAGATTGTGTAAATGATATAAGCTTCTAGATGATTCTGACATAATTGAAGTATAAACTTAAATAATTCTTCATAGAGCCACTAATTTTAAAAAGAAATTGACCTGTTAGGTAATAGGTAGAAATGCAAACACTTAATGTAATCAACATATATTTTAGATTACTCACTTGTGACAATTATTAACACTCGTGTTCTCTTCTTTTTCAAAACAAAACAACATAATTAGACTCTTAAACTATTTTGACTAGTATTTATAAATCAACATGTTTTTAGATTACTCACATGTGAGTGACAGTTATGAATAGTCGTGTTCTCTTCTTCTCTTCTTCTTTCCCAAAACAAAACAACGTAATTAGACTCTCAAACAATTTTGACCAGTATTTATAAAATTTATGATGCAATTTGTTACACACAATGATATTATATATGTATATATGTGCGCGAGTGCGCATGTGTTTGTATGTATGTATATATATGTATATGTGTGTGTGTATGAGTTGACTACTACTAATAGTATCCAACAATTGAGTACTATCAATCCACTTTTTGAAAACTGGAATCCAAAAAAGAAAATCCGAACCGGTGAATATGATGTTCTACATATCAACTACTTAGAAATAAAATTTCATCAACGTGTTCTGAAACATAATATATCAAGAGGCAAAAAATTAAGTAACTTTATGAATATTTTGATATGTTAATTTCGACATCAAATGCATGGGCTAATGTTATTGAAATTGTTTGCAATTTTGTTTCTATAGTAGACCATATCCACTAGTTCGGATTTTCATTTTTGAATTCCAATTTATAAAATTGGGTTGATAGTATCTAATTGTTGGATACTTTGTTTCTGGATAGTTCATGTGTAGTAGAACACATCCATCGGTTTGGATTTTCATTTTTAGATTCTAATTTTTAAAAAATTGGGCTGATACTATCCAATTGTTGGATACTGTTAGTTGTAGCCCATTTCAACATCATTAACCCATGCATTTGTTGTCAAAATCAACGTATCAAAACTTTTATAAAGTTGCTTAATTTCGCATGTTGATATATTATGATTCAAAACACATTGATGAAATTTTGTTTCTAAGTAGTTCGTGTATAGTACATCACATCCACCGATTACGGTTTTCATCTTTGGATTCTAATTTTCAAAATTAGATTGACAATACCCGTATATTGGATACTATTAATAGTAACACACATATACATACATACATGAAGTAGGTCCCATTTTCTAGAGAACAACTTTAAATGTATGGATAATAATTGGCTACGTCACTAAGAAGCACCAATTCTGTACTTTTGTACTTGGTACTAAGGATACTCATTTCTCTCTCTCCCCCCTCTCCATACACACACACATAGGTATGTATACACCCACACATATATGTTATATAGGTGGGGTTATAATACACACAAGCTATAATATAGTTACACTCACCTGTAAAAATGTACTTTTGCTCACCGATTTTAGTGATCCACACCATTCATTGTTATCTGCATATCATCAAGTGCAAGTGGATCAAAAATCAGGTGGTTTAGAATTTTCTATTCTATAATTCAAGCAATTCAAAATAACCGACATCTGAGATAGTGACAACCCGTCCATTTCTAGGTCATTAGATAAATAATTAGAAATATTGAATCTATTTGATTTTTGGTCTATATGTAGTTTTGAGTGCATAGATCACAATATGAATGATGTGGGTCATTAATATCAATGGTCAAACGTGTATTTTTACAGGTGTGTGTAACTAAGTTGTACTTCGTGTGAATTGTAATCGTACCTCCCTCTCTCTATGTATATGTATGTATATATATCGAATAATGGATATGTTTGGTACGAAGCACCAATTTTGGTGCTTGGTAGTGATATTGTCTGTTCTCGTACAGTCATTTAATTGGTGGAATAATTAAGTGGGGATTATTTTTAAATGGACCTTTAAATGAGTACACGAAAATCATCCATGTCACTACCAAACTAATTTTATGCTTATATACATATAGAGGGGGGGGGGAGCACAAAACTCTTGTTAAGTTAAGTGGATAGGAGCACTTGTCTTATCCATTAGTTTTGCTTTAAGATTTGTGTTGGCATGTGATATAGGAGCACTTGTCTTATCCATTAACTTTGCTTTAAAATTTGTGTTAGCATGTGATACACATCAAGGCATGGATCCCAAAGATAATCTTGAAGTGTATCACATGCCAACATGAATCTTAAAGCAAATCTAATTGATAAAAAAGTTGGTAGCTAAAACCCTCAATCAACTTAATTTTATTCTGGCTTTTCTCTCTCTATATATGTGTGTGCTGGTGCGCACGAGCACATATCATGGGTAGGTTTTTTTGGGTTGGGTTGGGTTAGGGGGGGGGGGGGGGGGGGG